GCACATGATTTTTACGTATTAGAAGCTAGAATTTGTTTTGTTTTTAAAACACTGATGATCCACTCCACGGCCATGAGTGCTCCGCTAAATTCAACAAATCTAACAAGTGTCATTTAATTGTTTCATTACAGCTTTACATCTCTGCTAATTAGCGAGAAGTCATTGCAAATTGATGACAATCAAGCTAATGTCCTAATAAACACTGTAAGTAAAAATATAGTTTATGGTACTATATATTTAGCAGTTAGTTATTTATGTTTACCCATACTCACAGTCAATCCTGTCTATTCATCTTTTACAAAGTATAGATTGGGATAATGGTTATGCCGTCAAAATATGCGGATGAGTATGATGTCGATGACAGTTCAGATGAGGAATATGTGCCACCTTTATGTTTGCGGTATGTTCTTTTTTATTGTTTATGAATTTAATTAGCTCTTGAGAAACGCGATTGCTGTTGATAATACTGAAGGAGCTTATATATATATGGATGCTGTGATAGGCATCATGTTCCTATAGTAGGCTATAGGTAGACGTGGATCAGCTGAGAGTCAGCTGATGATAGCTTGACTAACGTGACCTGACAAAACTGATTCTTGATTATTCTTCAGATTTTAAAATAAACTCCCATTTACAGTGTTATAGACTAACTAGAAAGCCTGCACACTCTGCTACCCTGTATCTGCAACTGCGGTAAAGTTCATATTCATATATTCAGATTTCTGCCCTCAATAACTTTCTTATGGTGTATGCTAAATGGTTAATAATAATAATAATAATAATAATTCATTACATTTATATAGCGCTTTTTCTGGGACCTCAAAGCGCTTCACATATGGAAGGGGGGAATCTCCTCAACCACCACCAATGTGCAGCATCCACCTGGATGATGCGACGGCAGCCATAGTGCGCCAGAACGCCCACCACACACCAGCTTATTGGTGGAGAGGAGACAGAGTGATGAAGCCAATTAGTATATAGGGATGATTAGGAGGCCATGATGGACAGAGGCCACTGGGCAAATTTGGCCAGGATGCCGGGGTTACACCCCTACTCTTTCGAAGGACATCCTGGGATTTTTAATGACCACAGAGAGTCAGGACCTCGGTTTAACGTCTCATCCGAAGGACGGTGCTCTAATATGAGTATTTTTTCATTATAAACAAGACTATCAGCTTCAACTCTGTTTTCTCTCGTAGTCGTTGTTTTATAAAAAAAAAGAAAAAAAAGAATTGTAGCTCATTGTCAAATATGTCAGTAATATTAACTCTTTTGCATCCACTTTTGGAAAGCTATTGACAAAGTCAGAATGTGAATATGAAACCAACTTTACCGCAGTGTATCTGCGTTACCACTGTTGCAACTAGAATTTGCAGTGACAACGCAGTGCTATTCATCTGTCGTCGTTGATAGAACTGCATTACATTTTTTATTCTCATTAATTTTGTACAATAATCATCCATACTAGCTAAGATAACATCTGTGGTTATTCAAGCTGAACAGTGGTAACGTGAGATCTGTGAAAACTCAGAACATGTTCAACAGAACTTTGAACGTCACTTTTAAGCTACAGTCATACTCTCAGTTGGTGTCGAGTCTCTGCTTTCCTCATAGGATCTCACTGAGATCTCATTTGTGGCCATGTTTTTACCTGACACTTTCAGACAAAGTTTTAAACACATTAAATGGAAAACATTTATACTACTAATGCGATTAGCCTGCTAGTTCAGGCTAGCTGAATTTACCCTCATAATTGAGAAAAGAAGACACATCAAACTTGAAACCTTTCTCAAGTTTGCTCTGCGTCGCTGTACTGCACATCCAGACAATTCTTTGCACATCATTGATTGTAAATTAACGAGTAAACTTTATAATGCCGTTTACCTCCGCTTTAAATCTCCCCAACCGGAAACTGAAGAGCAGCCTTGCGTCAAATGCGGAAGTTATCTTCCAGTCCCAGCACTTATTACCTTCGTTGTGTGTGTGGGGAAACTTGTAGTGATTAAGTGAACACTAAAGAAGGTATGATGTGCTCACTTCTGAGTGAGTTGATATACATTCTCACACACACTAGGGTAAGACTGCTGTGATGGACAAGATTAGAAACTATCAAGGGGAGAGTGAGAGAAAAAGAGAACAGATGTTTCTGATGAAACACTTCTCCATGCTCACTGCTCTCAGACCATCTCACCCAATAACACTAAACTCACCTAGGGAGCAATTTGGTACGGTCATTCCTCAACACCTGGCCATAAACATGTCATTGCTTCTGTTCAGGAACGCTCATCTCTCACAGCGAACAGATGTGGGTCAACACTCGTTTCGGCCTTCCCATTTATTGGAGTTTTACAATGGGAAAAATGTGCTAAAGAAAACCAAAGTAAGGTAAGCACTAACATTTTCATTTCATCCTTATAACTTTCCCAGAAGTCCACCGGCTGCAAAAATATATATTTAATTAAAAAATACCATGCATATCACTCACACATTTTGCCTCTAGTCCTCCAAGTGTATGACATAGTTATGTAATTCTGCCAATTACATAGCTAAACCATCTGCTGAATATTTGAGTTACAGGGGCCTGTAGGGTGGCCAAAGGAAGCTGGTATTGTGCCCACTTAGAGTCTGCTAACCGCACACACACCACATACAACACACTGCCAAAAGAGTCCATGGTAACAGGAAGAACTGGAATCAAAATGCCAAGCAGAGATGTTTGCGGAGTAATCACAACAGGGTTCTCATTTTGGTCCTGATAAAAAAAAAAAAAAAGAATACACTCTATGTATATTTAAATTAAAAAGACTGCATTTAATTACTTCAGGTGTTAAAGACATGATTATAAAACCATTATGACAAAGAAGCAAGCATGATTTGCTGTAGAAAAGGGTGAAATTACAAGTATGCTTAATGATTTGAAATATGACTCATTTTATTTTTACACCGTTGTACAAATTGGCTTTCTGGCATGAGTAATGACTGCATACAAATTAGTTTTTATTAATTACAATAAGTGTTGATATTGTAAGGTATGCTCTGTTTTGGTTTAGTTTTCACTCTGTTTGCTCTGTTCCCATTGGCCCGTTCATATTCCATTGGTTACTCATTCATGTTCTAGTTTGTTGCCATGGTTAATCAATCACTGATTGTTAGATTCTAGTTCCCTTTGTTCCTTATGTTTATTCCCCGAGTTTCATTTCTTTTTTGTCCGATATTTTTTTGTTTGTGGTTGCGTTTCCAATGTTTCCTGAGTATTTGTAAATTAAGATTACTAGTTAATTCTCTTCGTCTTGCGTGACAGATATAATCAATAAATGGAGAAAAAAAAGAGCTATATAGTGACAGAGAAATAATAAAGGGAGACATAAATGGAAATAAAGTAAGATAATTTATAGGTTCATATGCCCTCTAATTAAAGGTTTGGTGGATATAGCAAAAATAGCAAATATTAGTTCAATATGATCTACAAAGAGCTAAAAGCAGGATTTTTAATTATTTGCATTATCCATACACCTCATAATTCTAAATGTCATTGAAAACATAAAAATAAAAAACAAGGTGCACAATGTCTCTGATTATGTATTTCTGCCTGTCAGCAGTCTGGGTCCATTATGAACTACTGAAAATATTTTATTTAAGTTGTGATATTGTGTGGCAGTCGCCAGGGGGCAGTAAACCCTCGATTTTCACCCCATAACCAATCACAGGGTACGAAATAAAAAGCATCCGAATATCACATTGGCAAAATGTGTAATATTTCTCAAAAAACATCCACTGCTTTATAACCAAAAAAAAAAAAAAAAAGAAATGTCCCTATAAGGACAAGTATTTTGGATATTGCCATCTATGTTTAAAAAGCTTTAATTAATATGGATGCACACGTGCTTTCTATTTACTGTATTATGAAAACAGGCTATATGTCCTAGCAGCTTTGGGATTCTGTAATAGCCTAAAGACTGCATGAGTGACGGGGGCGTGATATGTCACAGAGGGAGGTCCCACACACACACACACACACACACACTTATGCTCTATTGTTAGAATAATAGCCTACACTCCACACAGTCTCTGCCGCTCCGGGGGGGGGGGGGGGGGGGGGGCATCTAAATGAGTGTGCTTATGTTTCTAAAATAACTCATTAACTTTTTAAAGAAAATGTTTATAAGAGAGGGAAAGAATGACCAAGCCCATGACATTATGCAGAATTCATGACATCATCACCTTTTACTGTCAGGATAGCGCTCTCCATCCTCATCTGACACACACACACACACAGGCTGCGCGCCGCTTTGTGTTGAGCTGGTCCGACTCATTTCCACGAAACGGTTCTTTCGAACAGTTCATTTCAATGAGGCGGTTCCAAAACGATTCATCGGTTCGTTTACGTCACACCCGTACTCAGGAATACCCTGACATTTTAAAAAGCTTTAAACATTTAAGTTGGCCTACTTGGCATTATGCAACGTATTTGTTTATACTTTTAAGTAACATTCATTCGTATGTAGCCTGATAGCATGTAGGCTATTGTATTGATGTGTTGTGTTCTATAGTTCACTTTGCTGCACAATGTTCATGCAACATGAAGTTCCTTTCATAGCCTTATCTTTGCGAGTTGAAAATACAACTGAGACAAATAGAGACAAACATTCTCTTATTGTTTACTTTTGCACAAATAGGCCGTCTTGCACATCTTTTGAATGTCTCTCATGTTACAATAAAATATTAAACCAATGAATCTCTTTGTCGTATGTCATATTATGTCATACGCATAAGTAGGCTAGTTTCCTGCACACATTCGGAACAGTAAGGTTGGTTATTTAGCCTGCTTTCCAACCCCAATGATCAAATCAACCGAAAACCGAGGATTGTGTTCACCGGTGTTGTGCCGATGGCTCATTTCGAATCGGACAAGACCGAACTAGTCTCGAGAACCGTCGTCCAGACCAATTCGCGAACGAATCGATCAGTTCAATTGGCGAACCGGTTCAAAAGAACCGACTCATAAGAAGCGAAAGGAGCGATCGCAGGAGGAGAGGCGCATCTGGAGACAATAGAAGGCAATGCAGAGCTGCGCTTTGTCGCTCTGATCGAGGGCTGTGCAGTCAAAACACAGACATATAGAGATGATGGAGCGCTAAATCTGGATATATTTCTCGTTATTTTGATTTGTGAGATCTGAGAGGAAAGATGAATCCTGCTGAAGCGGCGGAGGACGGACCCACTGATTCAGACACGGATGCGTTCTTCAAAACAGGTACGATGAGAGGAGAGATGGAGAGACAGTGATCTCTATAGATAGGCCTGCGTTTGGCTAATTATGACAATTAATAGCGCACATATAGTGTCGCTTTCCATTCTTTCTTCATGAGGTTTATCTCTGTTACCGTCGTAATTTATTAGGCTACTTTTTTAATTTTCCAATTGCTCATTCATTTTTAATGTCTTTGCACTGCAAATTTCAATTAGCTTTAATGTATTTTATTTGGTTAATAGCTATTTTTATTTTCTATTTTTGGTGCGGCTTGGAAATGTAGTTTTTGTTTTGAAACTGAATTGAGAAAGAGATAGTCTTCAATTAAAGATGAAGGCTAATGGGATAAATCAGGGTATTATGGTTTAAGGATGCTTGAGGTCCAGGTTTGTGTGATGGGTGATGCTGAGCATTAGTGCCATTATCCTGCTTTGACTGACAGCTCCGCTGAGCTTTAGTCGTGTAGTCTGAAAAGCCAGCCCATCCCATTCCATATCTCCTGAACAGCCCCATACAACTGCTGGATAACTTCTCATGCCTTATTTATCAGGATCGTGGTCATTTGTTCTTATGCACACAAAATGGCTGGTTTGTTGTCATATAAGTCTGTTAGGTGTCAAATCACGGTCATTTTCATGCTTAACTGGGCTTCACAGTGATTGGGAAGAAGCTAATTTCAAACACTCCACTCTTAATATACGCGTCATCTGTGTGAAAGCGCTTGTGAGTGTCAGATGTGCCAAGAAGTGAAATGTTGAACCCGAGTTTGAGGGAGGCTTTGATTGCTAAAATGCTTACAAATCAACCTATTCTGTAAGCTATTGGTCTTTAAATTAGGAAGTTTAGGCTGGGTCTGGCTGGTTCTGGCGATTCTAAAATTATTGCCACATACACATTTGTAACAAGCACATTCCTTGTAACATGCACCCATACAATTTATGTTCTTATTGTCTTTCCAAAGTGGACATAAATATTTAGAATGTGTATGTTGAGTTGAGTGCAGTTGTCATATGTAAACAATGATTTCACAACAACCTTTGACATTTAAAAGGGGACACTGGGTCAGCATAGTGGCAAGACCTTGTATCATGTGCAGCACTTTTAGAGTTTTAGAGAGGAAATGGCTGGAAGAAATGCTAATGTTTAGGTAAGTGGTCCAGGCTGTGAGACCCCTGCTGAGGAGTGATGCATAAACCCTGCTGCTTTACACAGTGGGCTATAGGTCAGGATGCGGGTACACTATGCTCACTCTCTCATACGCACACACAAACAGCTAAAACATGTACACATGGCATAACACAAAACACAAACTAGTTCTCCCTCTTGTTAGCTCAACCACACAGCTGCGCTGCCTTTCTTTCGGTCTTATCAATGTGAGGTTCAAGGTGAGTTTTTTTTTTGGAGGAAGTGTGTGTACAATGTCTCAGTTTATGATCTGAAGGAAGGTCATACAGTATCTTAGACAGTCTGATAATTAACAACCATGTATCAGAGTAAACCCACAAACAGCTGAAAGAAAAATCCTGAAATATAAACAGACTGAACTTGTAGCAACACATTGGAAAACACATTGCCTCTGCCTACATTTTTGCAATACTCAAATCAGAAAACACATACCAATACATGCAAATCACTGCAGTTTCCAGCTGAAATTAACATTATAGAGGCAATATCACAGAAAATGATGATTACAGAGGCAGATTATCGATTAATAAAGACTTATTTCAAGACGCATCGTAATATAATTTTGCACAAATGTCACCACAGGCGTTTTTTGAGATTTGAGATTTTCTAAGATTTCCTTAATTCTTATGTGGATTTTACTGCCATAGAGTGTTGTTGGTGGTTGCCAGGACGTTGATGTGTGGTGTAAAGTGTGTTTTTCATGGGGAAACAAATCTATTTTTATAAGGTGGTGATTTCGTAGGCAAAAATGTGGAAAAATTGTAACTTTACAACGGGTTGTCACTGGGGCAGTTCCCTTAAAAGGATATCTTTGTACCTTTTATACCCCTAAAACTGCATAGTTCCTTAGTAATTCTTACCTTATGACCCTTTTAGGGGGACTGACCCAGTGACAAGCCATTGTACCCCCAAAGTTACAATTCTTGCACATTTATTCTGAGAGTGAACTCATTGTCCGACAACATGATTTAAAAAAAAAAAAAAAGTTAGCATAAGGTCCACTGGGGTGTAAGCGCATCGTACGGAAATGTACAAATTCATATGAATTCAACACCAATTCACCAAAACGTAAAACGGTTATGATTTGCCATGAGATTGATTTAATATTCTGATCCCTCCATCAATATATGCACGTTGGTGGGATTTTTCATTTGCTTGGAATTCCAATCACAAAGTAATAGCAAACCTCTTCAACAAGCTTTATGATTTAGATATCCTTGCAGAATTGGTGCTGAATGAGTTCCATGCCGATGTATAAGCAATTCCGAGGCTTTCTTCTCACCTACAACTTCAGAGCAAATAAAGAACAAAGCAGGCTATTTTTAGGCATGATCATAAAGACATTGTTGAGTTGTGCAGAGTATTGGTTTTGAGATCTCCAGTGCCAATGATTTGCAGATGTTTGGAGGTCTGGTGTAGCAGAGGGGCTTTTTACCGTGGTTTTACCCAGTGGAAGCGAGGACATCTGCAGAACATGGCCATCGGCCGTCATCAATGGACAGACAGATACATCCTGGCAGCCCCTGCCCCTGGGGCCAACATAAAGTCAGGAGGATATAATGGAGGAAGACAGGGACAGAGTGAATAGGACCATAAATCTTCTTTCTTCTGCCATATCCAGTTGTAGTGGGTGTTTGCCCTCCTAGAGAAAAGACGTTACGTGGCTGAGTGAACAGTAATCCATTCACAAGCACCACACTCAGCAATCAGAAGAGGTTTTTATACCCTCGGCCACATGGCTCACTCGCTGCATGTGAGTATTTACGGTTGGATTAACCTCCATACTACATACTGCTATGGATAGAGTGCTCTTGAGGGAACAAAATGAGAGAACAACCTCTTTCCTCTTATAATAATTGTGTTGATTGTCCTATTTGGACCCCTCCTTTGTTATCCTTCCTGTTATAAGCTGTTACTTCCTTCTGAAGACCTCTTTAGCACTGCTTATTAAACAGTATATGACTGTGTGCAACTGGCTCACAACACCGGGTCAATGAAACGCAACCGTTGTTTTTTTGTGAAGCATTTGAGTTCTGTTTTCCTCTCTAAGGTGGTTGTTAATTGATTACTTAATCAGTCATCTGATCAATACATTGGGTGGAGGTTGGCCAGGCTTTGAAGATTATTTGAAAATCCGGTTTGGAAGTGTCTGCTTTTGACAGGGTTTATTTAAGGCTTTGTTTAGTAGGCAGCAAACATCTGATTCCTTGGCATATACAACTCAAATCCGTTTAGTTGTTTGTTGTCTGAACAGACACTGAAAGAAAAAAAATTTTACAAACCCGATCCAAACCACATTTTGATGTGGTTTGAAATCCGATTAACAGTGAATTTCCAGAATTTTGGAAATAAACAAGCAGTCAGTCGAGATCCAATTTCAAGTAAATGTCTGTAACGTCATACACAAAGTGCAGTATTGTCTGTCTCAGTTCACTCATGTACACTCATATGTAGCTTTCACTATGTTTCACTAAATTGTGATTAAGTGCATATGAGCGTATATAAGTACAGATGCTTATGGTGTTGTACATTGTATGTTGTCTGCTTCTGTAGTTTAGCATCACAACAAGATGTCATGCTCTCTTACGTCTCTTGACATTGTTCTGATGCTTATGTCATTACTATGGAAACTGATGCAGATATTGACTGAGCTGTCTGAACAAATTCATTACTGCAGACAGTGACCCCTGCAAAAACTTGTTAATTCATGGTCATTGTCTGGCAAGTTTGCTGCTCTTTTCCAGTACTGCGGATTTGCTGAAAACCTCTGGCAACAATGAACATTTTGCCACTAATGGCAAACATCTTTTTGGCAAGTCTTTGGTAAATATGTGCCACTAATGGGGAAGATTTATGATGAACCCGTGACAATAATGGACAACCAACCGTTGTTAAACTTTTCACTGAAGTAAAGTGTGTGTGTGTGGTCTTGGTAAACATGTTGTGGGGATCAAATGTCCCCTCAAAGATAGTAATACCAGAAAATGTTGGCCTTGTGTAATCATACTAAGTGATATTTTTTGAAAATGTAAAAATGCAGATTTTTTTCTGTGATGGGTAGGGTTAGTGTAAAGGCAATGTAGATTCTCCAGTTTACACTGATTTATCATTTCCTTATGATGTACTTGATGCAGTGCGTGATATGTAGATCATTATGAGCCCTATTACTCTACTATCTTTTTCTCCAATAGTACTTTTATCCAGGGCAATAAGAACCATAAACAGCTGATGCATTGCAGGGATGGTATCTCCTGAGCAACATATTAAATTTTTTTTGGGAGTCTCTAACCATATGATTTGTTCCTAAAGCATTCATGAATCAGCCTTGATCCTCTAAACGTGATGCTGTACTCATGGTGCCGTCCTGGTTTGGTTTTTGGCAGATCGTGATCTGTTTCCACTCAGTGCAGTCAGAAGAGAGAAGTGGAAATTGGCTTTGGCAAGTAAATAAAGCGTACTCGCCAGTTGGCCAGTGACTTTTATAATACTGCTATTGACATAATGTCCTGTTGCCAAAAATATACAAGGGCAAAAATAGCAACATAATTCCTTTGTTATATGAAAAATATATATATATACATAGCAATGTTATGGTTTAGGTTAAAATGTTTTCATGTTTTTGAAAATAAGTCTCTTATGCTCACCAAGGCTGCATTTATTTGATTAAAAATACAGTAATACATTAGTATTGTGAAATATTATTACAATTACAACTTAAATGACTTCGCAGGCATCAGTTTCCTCACGAAACTGATTTCGGACAGACTTCTGAGGCAGTGTAATGGTTTAAGCGACAGCAAAATAGATCGAGCTTTGGTGAAAACTAAGCAAATATTTAATCACTTCAATAGTAATTTCTCATTAGGTCAAAAATGTACATCTACACTGTAAAAAATTATAGGATCAATAAGTTATGACAACATATGTTTTTACATTGCATCAAAGGATACATCTATGATGCCTTCAAAAATCAATCCGATGAAGGAATCTCAGGAGACAGGAAGTGAAGCTAACATTGGATTTGGACGGGTCTTGATGCCTTCCTACCTTGCAATATTTCCTCCGAAGGCAGCATTTATCAGTTTTCTGACACAGCCATTGCCTGATTGGGCAACAATGCAACAAATAAACTGAACAAGGAACAGGTGGATGTCACCATGACAACAAATGAACCCAAGCTAGAAACCAAGGGAAACACAGGAAATATTGAGAAACAAACTAAAAGTCCATGAAAACGAAAATGAAACAGATTGTGATGTGTATCAATCAAGTGTATGCTTTGATTGAATGATTCTAGTTCATGTGTGCGTGAGACAAGGCTGGAAACTGCTGATAAATCCTACAATGCCAAAGTCTGATTCAGACTGATTAGACTGACACACAGCAAGAGACATGCACAGCCGGTGCTGGAAAAAGCCTTGGCTTTCTGCCAAAGTGTGTGTTTGTGCGTTCATTTGTGCACACCCCTTCCCCCCTCTCTCTCTCACACACACACACACCACGCTGTCTGTGCCCTGCTTGTGGGCTCCAGTGTGAGGAAGAACAATAGAGCATGATGCTCGAGCATCAGCTCACACAATACACTCCACTGACGGCCAGCGTGTGTCTGTCTGCCACATCACCTCTTTTGCCTTTCATTTCTTGTGGTTTTCCAGTTTGCATTTTCCATCCCTTTAATATCTTTACCTCTCCACCTCTCTCATACACACTTTTGTGTAGCTTAAACACACACTTTTACATAAACACTACAAAATTTAGATCTTACTTTTCCAGTACAAATATCTAAACATTTTTTTTTTACATGTACTTGAGAAACAAAATGACTCAAAATATGTTGGATGTTTTCTGAAAAACATATTAAAGTGGGTTTATGCCTAAAACAAGAAAAAATATCTGCCAGTGGGGTACGAAGAATAATCGTCTTTTCCCTTTGAATTAAGTTTATTTTTCTTACCCCATTGACAGATTTTTTCCCCCTTGTTTTAAGCATAAAACTCACAAATTTTTTATAAATTTAGCAGAAAACAAGACTTAAATATCTTACGTTATTTTCTTCTCAAGTAAATGTATCTTGATTTAAGAATGGATAGATATTTGTACTGAAAAAAAAAAGAGCCCAAACACAACCCCCGCCCACATTTTCCCAAATAGTGCGTCCCCTAACTCACTTCTGGGGATGCATTTGTCGTCAAACTATAGCAATGAAATCACAAACATTGCCAAGTAATCGCGCACATTTTCCAACTGGGGATGCCCCAAATGTCCCTGGACAATTTTAAGTCACTTCTTGGGCAATTTTATCTTTTTAGTTTTCCATTAACTCAAACTAAGTAATCCCCAACCCTTACACACACACACACAGTTGTAGTGTGGCAGATGGCTAATTGGCCGGTTTGAGGTGGTGGGTTTATAGCGCGAGTGAGAACAGATTTGAGTGGATTAAAGAGTCATGATATGACGTTGAGGGAGATGAGGTTTAGTGAGAGGGATCCCCATTTCCGCTGTCTGTTCCTGCGCTACGTAAGCATGGACGGACACTTAGCACTGCAGACTAATGGAGTCAGATCTCATTAGTTGATCCTCTGCTTTGAATGAGGCTTTTAGATGGATTGAGGGAACTATTCCCTGGAGACCTGTGAGTCTGCATCTGCGCTCCACTGATAAAGATGCTGCTCCATTCACCAGTCCAACAGCTAATTCTGTTTGTTTTTGATGTGCGATGGCAGATTACGCCTGCAAAGTTCAACTGCATTTCTCACCTACATGCAGGCTTAATGATAAATCAGACTTTCTTTAAAAGGTGATGCGTGTAATTTTTTGATGGTAAAACACTTTTTCCTATTTTAATATACACTCATTTTAAGCCAGCCGCCTATAAGTACTCACTAGAGCTGCAGCAAAATGACTTCATGGCTACTCTGATTTGCTGATAATTGGCTCAAGAACACATAATGGGTTTTCACATTATGCTTAACCCTGGGTTAACCCTATAAGGGCTTTTCATATTTTAAATAGTTAACCCTTGGTCATCCTAAACCCTGGGTTCACATTCTTAGTTGCATATTTGTACACAAAATAATCATCTTTTCTCACAGTTTCGCATCAGCAAAAAAATAAAAAATAATTCTTGACACAAATTCTCATTGGCTGTTTTGCACACACAGGGTTTCTGTGACTGCGCAAAGCTTGAGATATGAACCATGCCCTCTATAAAAGGTTTTCTTAACTCTGGGTAAAAAGTCCCAATTAGTCGCAATTCTGTGATACTACAGGCCAACATAATCTCATGAGAATTTGTATGTTTTATACAATTACAATTACTCATGTTTGCATAGCCATATTGACATACCATATTGACATACCGACATCATCTAAATTATGTATGTATCAGCACATTTACAGACAAACAAATGTTTATGAATTCTTATTTAAAGCTGCAGTCCGGCGTTTTTCCTCTGTCGCCATCTCTGTTCGAAATCTGCAATTGCAGTCATTCGCGGAATTATCAACTTTACGTGAGTTGTACTTCAACACCCTCGACACCTCACAGCGCGGAGGAACACAATAGAGTGCCGAAGTTACGACGTCACTCTGTAGGCCAAAACGCGGAAGTGAGTTAGCATTTTAGCACTCCCGGTTCCCTCGCTCTAAAGTCTATGGGATTTTTGAATGGGTTTTTGCTAAATCGCCTGAAATAAGGTCTGTGGTGAAAAAAGCCTCTAAATATTTTCACGTTTTGATCTATGACATAGAACACACAGTTATAACCTGCTTGTAGTTTTTTAAACTTTATTGTGTCTGCTTGTGTTTTTTTTAAACTTTATGCTACAAAATGTATAAATTTTTGATTACCTTGTAAAGATTATCTTGATAGACAAAACGTGTAAGGGTCACAACTCTTTGTTAAACACAGATCTTATTTTTTGCGATTTTCCAAAAGTCTATGGGGAAAATAGCTTTTCGATCGAGGGAACCCATGCGCCGCTAGCTTCCGAGTTGTCCTACAAAGTCACGTCATCACTTCGGCACTCTATTGGCGCTTTTCCATTACCAGTACCAGCTCGACTCGACTCGCCTTGGCTCGCCTCGACTCGGCTCGCTTTTCGCTTCGTTTTCCATTGCAGAAAGTACCGCCACAAATAGTACCCGGTTGTCATAGCGACGCCTTTCGTTCCTCGTTGCCCCATCAAGCTCTCGCTGGATCCTCTCTTCGGCAACCAAACAAAGGAATGTCTGCACCTCCTAGTTTGACCACGGCGTATTCTTCCGAGTTGCCATAATAATAGTAGTAAGTTTAGTAACTATCTCTGGACAAACTATTTAAAAATGGCAGGGTTATTCTGGATACTCCATCTGGCGCGTGCAATGATGACGCAGTGAATAGTGACGATTCTCTCTGACCAATCAGCAGTTGGCATTGTTTTCACGTCACATTTTAGTATCGCCTCAGCTCGCTCAGAACCTCGCCGGAGGTGGTACGAAAAAAAGTACCCGAAAGCAGGTACAGGCTACAGGTACAACTTTTACACAGTGGAAAACCAAACAAAGGCGAGTCGAGTCGAGTCGAGCCAAGCCGAGCCGAGCCGTGCCGAGGCGAGCTGGTACTGTGAAGTTGAAAAGCGCCATATGTTTGAGGAGACTGTGAGGCTGTCAGTCACCGCGTCGGTGTGGATACTGGCATTCAGAATCACAGATTATTCTTTTTGGAAGTTATGACCAACATAAGAATTTTCACCGGAAAATGTCATCTGAACTAGTAAGAAACATCCACCTTTGTTGTTCGGATTCTGACATTGCAGTAAATCGCGCTGATTAAATCTAACAATCGCTTATAAGTTATCATATCACGCAAAACCGTGCAATTTACGTCACGAACCGAGTGATTCCACTTGATATTCCTTTGTCTTGGTAGCTGTCTGTTGCGGTGCCCTGCAAACAAACTGTTTTTATTGGTGATCTTCTGCACTTTATGAAAACCAATGTCGATTGTTGCTCTGATGTAATTTCGTTGTACTTGCAATGACAATAAATAATAATAATAAATTATACTTTATTCTCAAATTGTTAATGTTAACAATGTCAGCATGTAATGTCCTTCCGATATGTATCCTTGTTTTCGCATGGGTCCGGTTGCAGTCTCTTTTTTTCTGTAGCCACTCCGAAGTCCGAACGAAGTCTTTTGTATTTTACAGCGGGTGAATCTCTAGTTGTCACTGGTGATTGTCGTTTGAACCTTTCTGGATCCGCCATCAAATTGATAAGTTTAATTATATCAAGTGCTGTGAGAAAAGGCTATAAATCTCCACCTCCAGCATCCTCACACGCAATATAGCTTATACTAGCCGAGACTCCTTCTTTATGTGTACAGATGTGACGTAATGACGCAAACACATGCTCGAATCTCCTGCGGAAATCCACCAGTACCACTGGAATTAAAAACATTATTACAAGCTTACCGCTTTGAATTGAGCTACGGCAAGCAGATAGTTTTGAACACTGGCTGGTTATGTATTTTCTCAAATATGTATTTTGGATAATTTTTAACCCCAAAAAAGCTACGGACTGCAGCTTTAATGTAATAATGAATAATTCATGTAATTAATTGGTCAGTTGATTATTTTGCATTTATGATAAATGATATTATTTAAAGTCCCCCTGTGGTGAAACTCAAGATTTTAATGTTGTTTATATCTATGTGGTGTTTTTAATATGCTTTAAGACAAACCTTGTGCAAATGCTCAAGTCAACACCATTGCTGAGTATTTTCTCCTTAAAACTGCAGTGAACCAAAGACAGTCTCAAAAACACGGTTTGAAATCGCTGGTGTTTCTGAATTCACAAACTACCTTGTAACCAATCAGATCAACGTGTGATCGTCAACGAGTGGATCTCTGAGCTGGAGTGAGTGAGTGGAGGCAGGGATCATTTGCATATTCATAGAACCGTGTATACTAAATGAGGCACGGGTGTAGAGTTATATTTAAGCTATTTTAAAGGGGTCATATAATGCCATTTTTGTACAAGCTAATATGATTCTTTAGGGGCTAAATTAAAAGTTTGTAATATACTTTAATTAAAAATTCTCATTAGTATTGTAAGAAAACACTTATTTTACCTGGTCAAAAACAGCTCTGTTTTCAGCACGCCGTTTCAGTGCATATGACTTTAAATGATCATGAGCTTTGCTGACTCCGCCCCTCTGTTCTGTGTACACCGTTTGTAACACAATAACTATAACGCGTTGTTCAGTATAAACGTGGGATTATGAATTATATTGAGAACGTCATACATAGAAAACATGCCGTAATGTACCCTGAGTGTAAACCTTAGACGCATTCATTGTGAAGCGTGCAGCTAGCGATTTGCAAAGATTAATATATTAATATAAAGTTTAATAAGACGTTACACTCACTTCCGTTCTTCTGGAGGTTCAGCAGGAACACGGATATCTGGTACCGATCCAGGAGCAGCTTCTTAGCAAATCCAGCTTTATACTGACCCTCGTTTATAAAGCAGTCTGGTGTGTGAAATGATTCGAGCAAATATGAGAGCATTGACGTTGCTCGTGGGGAATATTCCCTTCGAAAACAAACTCAGCCACTGCGTCTTCAGCGGTTCGGATTTAGGAACATTAAAATGACTGTGTTCGTTATTACACCCAAGAACAGAACACCACAATCGCTTAGACGCCATTCTGCTCATAGACAGCTCCAGCATATCAACAATGACCGCGCCTGTCCGCGCAGACTATGATTGACAGCTGGTTCACAAGCGAGGGTGGGTCTGTGTTGACTCGCTCCTGTCAATCAACAATCGTGGGAGGGGCTTCCGAGCGTGTGACGTCACACGGTCGAACGGCTCAATTTGAGGCAGGGGAAAACATATAAGGAGATTAAAACAAAAACACTGGATGGATTTTTATCATTTTATGATGGTTGTGTACAGGCACTGCCAACACACATTTCAGTACAATCAACTTGTAAAAGTGCAGGTACCATTATATGACCCCTTTAAGGAATGAAGAATTTCTTTCCAAGAAAAAAAAAAACTTTTAAAGGAGTCATATAATGCCATTTTTGTACAAGTTAATATGAATCTTTAGGGTCTAAAGTAGGGTCTACTTTTATTAAAAATTCTCATTAGTATTGTAAAAAAACACTAATTTTATCTGGTCAAAAACAGCTCTGTTTTCAGCACGCTGTTTCAGTGCATGTGTCTTTAAATGATAATGAGCTTTGCTCACCCCGCCTCTCTGTTCTTTGAGGCGTTTTGACACAACGCACGTGGAGTGTTTCCTTGACAACAGTTGAGGGGATATTTTGGAACAAGAATGGCAGTGGGAGTCTCTGAGGACACATCTGTCCAACCGTATCAGTTTGAACCGGAGTCGGACCCGGAACAAGATGACGGCCCGAAGAAGTTCGACAATTAAGGCTCGAACAGGACGTTTCTGAATGGTTGGTTAACGTAATGTCACTTTGATCTATTTTTGTATGTACTGGCAGGGTAGAGTAGTGAGATACGAACGCTATTCGTTTACTGATGTATAGGTTAGTTCGTTGACAGATTGATGTTACAGTTAATGGTCATGAACAACTTTTTTTTCGCGATTTGCAAAGATTAATTTAAAGATTAATAAAACTTTACACTCACTTCTTCTGGAGGTGCAGCGGGGACACGAATAGTTGGTACCGATTCTTTTTTCAGGAGCAGCTTCTTAGCAAAACCAGCTCATACTGACCCTCGTTTATAAAGCAGTCTGGTGAGAAATGATTCGCGCAAACATGAAAGCATTGACGTTGCTCGTGGGGAATATTCCCTTCGAAAACAAAACTCACCCACTGCGTCTTCAGCGGTTCGGATTTAGGAACATCAAAATGAATGCTGTGTTCATTATTACACCCAAGAACAGAACACCACAATCGCCATTCTGCTCCAGTGTATCAACAATTGCGGACAATGATGACAGCTCGCTCAGGGCGGGTCTGTGTTGAAACGCTGCTGCCAATCAACAATCGTGGGAGGGGCGTCTGATTTAGTGACGTCACAAAATCGAACGGCTCAATTTGAGACAGGGGAAAACATAAGGAGATTAAAACAAAAACACTGGATGGATTTTTATCATTATATGATGGTTGTGTACAGGCACTGCCAACACACATTTCAGTACAATCAACTTGTAAAAGTGCAGTACCATTATATGACCCCTTTAAATATGTCATTTTGGTGATCAAAGATGAGCTTTAAGGGATAAAATTATTGACTACAGGGGACTTTAATGCATTTATTTAAGGCAGCTGACTCAATTTGAAATTATGACCTATCATTCTGTTCTGTGTGATTCCTGGTGCAAGTATGTTTCAAAGAATTACATGTTAAATAAAAATAAACTTTAAAACCTTAAAATGAAAAACATTTCTGTAAATGTTTAACCATTACTTCATGTAATAATTACTTTGTTTGAGTGGGACACAAAAGGCATATAAATATGCTGTGAATCAAACAATGACTTTAAAAGACATCAAAAACGCAAAAAAATAATAAAAAGATGTTTTATTCTATGCTGTAATATCTTCAGAATCCATTTGAGGAACAGAACCAAATTCAAGCCTTTATTCAACGATCATCATCTCCATCCTCAGCAGTGATCTGACACGGGCTGTGTCCGAAATCACCCCCTATAACCTTAAATAGGGTACTAGTTGTGGACACAGCCATTTGTAGTGGTGTCCGAAAACATAGTGGACGTTATTGAGTGAACTCCCTCAATTCCACAATACACCGCAATTACGAGGGTACAACCGGGGTGCTT